GTTGTCCGGGCAATGCACGGGCTTTGTTATTTCCAAGGTAATATTTAGCGTTCCTAAAAAATAGATTTATATGTCTTCTTTTGGTGACTTTTTCTTAAACCTTTGATGTATAATATAACATTTTTTCATGTACCAAAAGGGTGGGGTGTTGAGCAGGACAGTTGACAAAGAAAGCAAAAATTCATTTCTCATAATTTCAGAAGAAAGATAATAACAGTTGACATCTTGGGTCTCAGCTGATAACATGCAGTAAATGAAATCTTTCGAAAGTTTTTCTCCCTTCCTACCTAATATATAACCAAACTGTGCAAATAAAATGGCTTTATAGGAAAACTTCTGTACCTCAGTTGTGAACAATGTGCAGCTCAAAACTAAATGAAAAGGAACACTAGAATAAACAAGTGAGCGGTTACTACAAATGTACAAACTCACAAAGAAGCTCAACCTAAAGTGTCAGCCTCTTAAATTATTCAAATGAAAATGTAAGATGACGTAAAACAAAAAAGCAACTTTAGATGCATCTTTTCAATAAAAACTAGTTGGTTGTCCGGGCAATGCACGGGCTTTGTTATTTCCAAGGTAATATTTAGCGTTCCTAAAAAATAGATTTATATGTCTTCTTTTGGTGACTTTTTCTTAAACCTTTGATGTATAATATAACATTTTTTCATGTACCAAAAGGGTGGGGTGTTGAGCAGGACAGTTGACAAAGAAAGCAAAAATTCATTTCTCATAATTTCAGAAGAAAGATAATAACAGTTGACATCTTGGGTCTCAGCTGATAACATGCAGTAAATGAAATCTTTCGAAAGTTTTTCTCCCTCCCTACCTAATATATAACCAAACTGTGCAAATAAAATGGCTTTATAGGAAAACTTCTGTACCTCAGTTGTGAACAATGTGCAGCTCAAAACTAAATGAAAAGGAACACTAGAATAAACAAGTGAGCGGTTACTACAAATGTACAAACTCACAAAGAAGCTCAACCTAAAGTGTCAGCCTCTTAAATTATTCAAATGAAAATGTAAGATGACGTAAAACAAAAAAGCAACTTTAGATGCATCTTTTCAATAAAAACTAGTTGGTTGTCCGGGCAATGCACCGGCTTTGTTATTTCCAAGGTAATATTAGCGTTCCTAAAAAATAGATTTATATGTCTTCTTTTGGTGACTTTTTCTTAAACCTTTGATGTATAATATAACATTTTTTCATGTACCAAAAGGGTGGGGTGTTGAGCAGGACAGTTGACAAAGAAAGCAAAAATTCATTTCTCATAATTTCAGAAGAAAGATAATAACAGTTGACATCTTGGGTCTCAGCTGATAACATGCAGTAAATGAAATCTTTCGAAAGTTTTTCTCCCTTCCTACCTAATATATAACCAAACTGTGCAAATAAAATGGCTTTATAGGAAAACTTCTGTACCTCAGTTGTGAACAATGTGCAGCTCAAAACTAAATGAAAAGGAACACTAGAATAAACAAGTGAGCGGTTACTACAAATGTACAAACTCACAAAGAAGCTCAACCTAAAGTGTCAAAGTTTACACTTTCACCGCAATCTTTAGCCCACTACAATAACAAACAGATACATCAAGAGAGATCATATCGAGAATAAAAAAAATAGAGAAAATAAAGACAAATTCAAGTAGAGATCGAACACATGTAGAGAAAGAAAGAGAGACCAAGTATACTGAGATGTGTTGGTTGCTGGAATTTTTTGCCCAAAGATAATTGATCTTTTATTTTCCCAAGGAAAAATAGGTTCATAAGTAGGCAAAGGAGATTCTCCAAGATGCTGCAAGTAATTCACAATAATGTAAAAATATTTAAGTAGTATCACACATGCAAATGCACGAAGTACAAAAAATATTGCTAAATGAAGACCTTGGAAAGTTTTGTATTTAATGACTCACAAAAGTTTTCTTCTAAAAAGTGATGCCTAGATGTACTTGGCATCTCTTCATCCGTGGAATCTTCTATTTTAGTTCTTCCAGCATTAGCAAAACATGCTTATGAAAGTAATTCAGAAAAACATAATTAGTTATTGCACATGTACGTAATATTATAAAATTGCAAATATTTTGTCCCCTACTCCCCTACTAAAAGATCATGGGTTTGCAGGATGATTTCTCATTCATTCACAAGGTTGCAATACACAATCATGTAATAGAATTAGATGGGGGTGTTGTAGAGGGTGTATTTGATTCAAAGCTATTTTGTGGGAACAAAGTAAAAACCATGATTATACATGCTAGGAGAAGAATGAATTTGTATAACATTAGACCTTATAAATTGGAATGTAAGGGAATTCTGAAAATGAGATTTTACCTCTAGTAATTGGAACAAAGACTTAATGCAACCAACCTTTATACTATTTCCTGATAAACACTTCCCAGGACATTGAGTGGAAGAGACAACTCGAAAAGTAGCCCATTTTCCACGACTTGCAGGAAAAAAGTTGAAGCATCAATATCATTAATCATTTGATGGTATAAGTCTTCCTTTTTTCTAGGTTTGATGGTATTAAAACCAAAAGAATAAGAAGATTAAAGTTTTATCAAGTCACCAACAGTCATGTTGCCATTTATAATCCCCTAGGAACACAAGATCATAGCTGCACATAGTGATGTGCTAAATATTAAATTCTAGCCAAAGTGTAAATAGTCAAGGCTTCGTTGAGTTTGTAAGGTGGCATCTTCATATCCTGATATATGTTTTATCAATCCTAATTAATTGGAAATCATAACAAGAAAGCTAAATACAACACCCTTAAACATGCAAGCATAGTAGGAGCTACAAAATTCATCAACAAAGCACTAGAGAGTGGTTCCAATCAAATTGTCTAAACAAGACAGGTGAGACAAGTGAAAGGTCAAAATTTAATTTAAATTAGTAAGCCAAAATTTAAAGACAAGATGTAGGTACGTTGGCTAGCTAGCAGGTAAAACTTTTATGGGGTTTTGGTGCTGTGTTACAGGTTGTAGTTAAGATGTGGATACCTAGTTATTTTGGAGGCCAAAAAAAAACCAAAATCATTAGTTGGAAAACACCTTCAAAAGTATAAGAAATCCCAAAAGAGCAAAAACCTAGCAAAATAATACACATCAAGCAAAAATTGAAGCATTTGAAGTAGATGAAGATAATCTAACTAAATTTTCACACACCAGAAATGTAAAAATACTTTAAAGAAAGCTAAAAAATAAATCCACAAACAAGCAAAGATCCAACAAAAGCTTAACTTTCTTGGCCAAATCGAGGTAAAGTAAGGAAAAATAAGATGAAAATATGAAGAAAGCGTACAAGAAAAATGAGAGAAATAGAGTTGAAATGAAGTAGAACACTTGTGCTAATGAGTAATATATTATTGGTCAGGAAGAAGCTTTGCAAGAAAAGTAAAATTGGAGCGAAAACCACCACAACTTTGCAAGAAAATGGAAAATCACAGCCCCATACTTCGCTAACGGCCACTGAAGTTCCTCTCCAATTCAATTGAAAACCACCACATCTTTATCCCCTTGTTTCACATGAACTAATCTAAAATCCTCATTTGCAAGCTCAATACTCAAAACGAGGGAAAAAAAGAGAGAGATGAAATGGACTGCATCTGGGCGATTATACCTTTCTTCTTCTTTTTAGGGTGTGATTTCTTGTTGTGAAGCGATGAACTCATCAAAAAGCGGACGTGTGAAATGAATTTGAAGTCTGAAAAATTGAATGAGTGATACAAAAAACTTTTGGGCTCATCAACAGTAACTACCGGCTCATCAAAATTGCCAAACCAGTTTCACAAAGTTAAGTGTGAAAAGGTGGAACTCAACTATGAACAGTAACTATTGGTAAGAGTCTTTTAAGGTATAGGGATAATGAAATTAAAAATATAGAAATTGTCAAGTAAAAAGTGTTTTAATTTTTATATATTTGTTACAAATTTTACATATTTTGGCAATTATTAATTTTTATTTTCTTACGCATTTTCAATAAAAATAATGAAATTGAAAAAAATAAGCTTTTTTTTTTATATTTATTACAAAAGTTTTTTTCAAATGCATTTCCTTTTTCCTTGTGTAATTAACGTTCTTTCAGGGTTTAAAAAGAGGTGAACTCTAACTATATTTTCACTCTGGTGTCAAATCTTCAGTTTTATACAATTGACTATTTCAATCGGGTAAATCAACTTTAATATGATTTCAATTGGATAATTGTACTTTAATTTAATTTCAATTAAGGTCACTTCGTTCAACTTCACAATAGAATTTAATGACATATCATCAATAAATAAGGATCATGATACGTGATAGTTGTTACCGGGAATAAGTACGATTTCAATGAAATACATAATAATTATCATTTATTGACAATCATGTCATCAATTTTCATCCATTCAAATGACATAATAAAGTTACTCAATTAAGTGTAGAGCCTTGCTTTTTGGCCAGACGGTGAAATCCCAGCCAAAAAATAGGGTGCTCATGGACAGCTTCCCTTCCAATAGGGGGCACCACATGGGTGCCCTGTTATTTTGCTGGGATTTAACCCTGTCCAAACGGGGTTTTCCTTAAATATGTTTATCTTATTGACATGAAATTGGAATTTCTCGTTTCAAAAAGATAGTGTGTATTTCATATATTTAACAATATTTACAACATATTTGGTATGAATTAAAATTTGATTTTAATTTAAGTCAAAGTTAAAAAATGAATATTAACCACATCTTTTATGAAAATATTTTAAAACTTCTATCACAATTTACTAAAAAATCTAATTTTAATCTTCATCAAACACACTCTTAGTCTTTGTTCAGAGGAAATTAAAATCAAATTTTTAATAGATGTTAATAAAAGTTGATAAATGTGTGATTCAAGGATTTGTAAAATATGTTATTAAAATTAATAGTTAATTTTGATTGACATTAAAATTTTAAATTATACCATGGCTTAAAATTGGCGTAAATAACTCAGGAAAAAAAAAAAAGAATTGAAAAATGAAAATAGACTTGAAGGTGTGGGGGCTTGGCTTCACCGTCAACGCAGAACCCAAATCTTGAAAAGTTCGTTGTTGGAAGGGTTAAGAGTGCGTTCCATTTCCCAGAATGTTCACATGTAATTGCCCCCCCTAACATCACAAATTACGTCCACATTCAACACTCCCAATACACTACACTTCATATTACAGATTCCCCTTTTCACAACCTTCTTTTCTTTTCTTTTCCTCCCCCCTCCCAGGTATTTGATCTGTCCTTTTCCTTATTGTAGATTTGCTTTCATTTGATTTACCATAATATATTTGTAATTTTTTCTGGGCTTTTTCTTGATCCCGCATATACAATGTTTTAGATAATGCGGGTTCTCTCTTGGGCTATCATACATTTATTTTTTATTTTTTTTTTATTTTTTGTATTTTGCAATTGCTCGTAGTTTTATTGAATGATGAAATAATTTTTTTATTATTCTTTTTTGATTTCTAGAATATAATTTTTGAAATGTGATCCTCCATTTCCTCCCAGAGAGCATATTGTAGGTACCTCTGTTCTGGGAAAATCTGTATTGAGAACGAAATAATGGTGAAATCATTTGCTGGATACGTTGCTTTCGAATGTCCATTCGTTGTGTTTACATGAACGGAATTGTGTCCTTTGAATGGGATTCTGGAAATTAGATATGATTTGAATTGGATTTTGATAATTTTCATTTCCAAGGTCCTCCATGTTGCATACACACAGCTTTGGGAAATTTTGATTTGTCAACATGATAAAAGCACATCGACCATATTTTTCTATCACAGAATTTTAGTTCCAAATAACCATTGTTACACTTTTGAGATCAATATTTTTTAATTTGCAACTACTCTATTTGGATTTAATCATTTTGGTTAGTGATGGGATGAATGTTTGCGTTTCCCTCTTTATTGTTAACTTTGTGCATGCTTCGTTCTACTAATTACTTCATTCACTAATCTTTCATTCAATGCCAATTGCAACTTTTACATGTTGTGCCTCAATGCATTTCTCTTCCATTTGTTTTATTGTATATATCTCTTCCTTCGAGAATTTAGAGCTTTGCTTTATGATAAAATATGTCCTTACCTGCACATGTAGTTATGTACGCAATACAGTCCTTTCTTATGAATCCACTATAATTAGTAGCATTAAAACAAGATTAGGTAGTCTCATTGTGTGAATAGTGGTCCATTTAACAGCAAGTGCAAAAGCCTTTCACTTATAAGTTTCGACTTGGAGAACAATAGGATCTCTTTTATTAAAGAATTGATAAAAGAAAAGCTGAATATCTATTTCTGAACAGGAAACAGAATAGTATTTCTTGTGATGGCTACCTTGGGAAATTCAACTAACATCTTCTGGCACGAATGTCCTGTCGGGAAGGCGGACAGACAAAAGCTGCTTAATCAACAGGGATGTGTCGTATGGATCACTGGCCTCAGTGGATCGGGTCAGCATATAAATGGATATCTTTTTTACTTTATCTTTTCCTCCCAGTCTCAATTAGTGTGGTTTTATTGTATTCTTTTCTACCTTTTATGTCTCTTCAGCTTGTGATAAATTCCATTACCAGTATCTACTTGTAAAACCTTGTTACACCATAGCAATGCACCATAATGTGTTGTCCTGCTATTAATTAACAATTTCTTGGACTTCATCTCGTCCTTATAGCTACTTTCAAATGAAGTGCTTATACACTAATTGGGTTGATCTCCTAAGTTCTCATCTAACAGTACCGTAATTTTAATTCATAAATCAGTGTACAAAGATTTACTTGACTAGTCCTTTGAATATCGTTATACACTGTTGCTTAACTGTTGTCCACATCTTGTTGATATTAGCTGTTCTATTATCACTACCTTATCATCAGCTGTTAAAAGTGTTTACAATGTGAAATGTCTATTTTCAAACCATGCAGGAAAAAGTACACTTGCATGCTCACTGGGCAGAGAATTGCACTCCAGGGGAAATCTGTCATATGTTCTTGATGGAGACAACCTTAGGCATGGTCTTAACAAGAATCTCGGTTTCTCACCAGAAGATAGGACAGAAAATATTCGCAGAGTCGGTAAGTGAAGCTATTGCTTTTTGCTAAAAAAATGATTAACTATGTTGACATGCTGAGAAGGTACGGAAGAGAAGCAATAGGCCAATAGTTTAAAAAAAAAATAAAAAAATTCTCCCCTGTTTTTTCTCTTGGGTCTACAATATGTTTCTTTCGTTCGAGACATTGCTCTTCTACGTTTCTTCTTTCACATAAACAATTGAAACTGTATTCTTTATTCACTCCAATACCCTTTCTCATTCTCTATTTATCACCTCTCCTTGAGACTGGACGCTAATACATCTTAATGTGAACTTGTAGCACTTTAGCTGTTGATCCCCTAGATATAAAAAAAAAAAAAAAAAAAAAAAAAGGCTGAAAAAATGATTTTTAGCAATGAAATGCAGTGAAGTTGTAAAACTGAACAATTTTCTCCATTAATGGATGTTTAAGTAATTAATTTTGAGCACCGTGTTCCAGTAACCATAATGGATTTTTCAATATAGAAACTGGTTCACTTCATCATCAAAATATATTAACACTAATTGCTACACTTCAAGAAACACAGGTTCATGATTGAAGATCATTGTTATTTCATATCTAAAGTAACAAATATATCATTTGGTGGCTTCAGCTAGATAGTTTAATTACCACGTGATGTTGCATGGAAGAAAGACAAATTTCCTCCTCTTTTCTTTTTTGTGCTAAATATCTCTCTTGAAGTCACCCTGCTTAGAAATGTATAGAGTAATGGCTACTATTAGGTTATTATTACTTTTGTTTTTCTTCATTCTAAAAACTGATTTTTGCCAGTAGTTATAGCTATTGAATTTTGATTAAAGCTTCTTGGAATATTGTTAATACAAGTATGGTTGTAAGAGGAAAGTCTCATTTTTTCTTTCACCGCTTTGGAATACGAGGTATAGTAGTTTGCAAAATTGTCATGTTTGAGGATTTAGAAATTCTTTTATGATCTCTCTCTCTCTCTCTCTCATCCATTTAGGGGAAGTTGCAAAGCTCTTTGCTGATGCTGGGTTAATTTGCATTGCTAGTCTGATATCTCCTTATCGAAAGGACCGTAATGCTTGTCGTGCTTTGCTTCCCGATGCAAATTTTGTTGAGGCAAGTCTTCAAGATTTCAAATAATTCTAGAGTATCAATTATGAAATGAATTGACCTGTAATTACAAATTTAATTTCCAGGTTTTCTTAAACATGCCTCTAGAATTGTGCGAAGGAAGAGATCCGAAAGGTCTTTACAAGCTTGCACGTGCTGGAAAGATCAAAGGTGCGTTTATCTTTCATCAATCCGAGATACTAATCTACATTGCTTGTTCTGGAGTAAAATTCTAATATCTGAGCTAAAACCCCAATGAGAATTTGAGCATTTTCTACTACTCAATTACTTGGATGTAATATTTAAATCCCCTTCCTTGTTTGACTGTCATTGTTACGTTTCAGGTTTTACTGGAATAGATGATCCTTATGAACCGCCTTTAAATTGTGAGGTGTGTACTTTAGCGAAAATGACGCAAATAATTTTTTTTTTTTTGTTCCTCCTCCTCTCCTTCCAAGTATGATGCTTTGTGTTTTGTTATTATTATTATTTAAAAAAAAAATAAAAATTCTAACACTGGCTCCTGGTCATTTCAGATTGAGATAAAACAGAAAGATGGAGTTTGCCCTACGCCTAATGAGATGGCGGGGCAAGTTGTATCATATTTGGAGGACAAAGGATTTCTGCATGCTCAGTGATTTACGTTTAAATTTGAGACCTTTTAAATTTTTTCCCTGTAAATTAGAAGATAACATGATCAACATACTACAGCTATACCTTTTTACAAGAAAGATGCAAGAATAGGGAGTCCGATCGAGCATGCCGATTTCTATTTTCCATGGTAATGGCTCGGGTCGTAGTGCCGATTCTATGGTAGATTGGTGCAAGTGGTAGTGCTCGATGTATTTTTGTTCTATATTTATATTCCCAGTTTAATACTTGACAGAGGTTGTGGTCACATATGTGAATTCTGTAAGAAGTTTCAGTTTGTGCTCTGGTTAAGTTTATGTTTAATCAACTTTGGAATTCAATCAATAATAATCGTAGTGCTGTTATTCTACCAAATCTTAATCATTAAACACACCTTATTGGACCAACTGAATCCACCAGCTACTTGCTAGAGCTCAAATAATATTACAAATGACATTTTAGACCTCGTTTGATAGTCATTTTTTTCAAAATGTATTTTTCTCTCTCTTCTTTTCAACCACACATTCTTCATTAAAATAATATTACACATAAATCAAAAAAATTTCTTTATTTTTCAATCACACATTTACTATTCTAAAATGTATTTTTACATAAAAATATTTATCAAACACTCTTTTAAAAAATGTCAAGTGTGCAATGACATGATGTCACTATCAGTTCGCTATGAATTTCTGTCTGAATAATTCACAGGTCTTTTAACAGCTACTATTGATAATAACAATAATAATAAGATGAATTTTTATAAATGTCACTAAAATTGAAAATTCAAAAAAAGTTTTCATTTGCATCAATTTTTAGCAAAAATGTCACTTTCTGCTAAAAATGTCCATTTACCCTTTGTCACATCTTTTTAGAAGCAATAAATGCTTGATTTAAATATAATTAATGGTGTGATGTGATAATTTATTTTGTATATTTTAAACATTTGAGATCAGATATTATGAATTTTTGTTAAAAAAATTGGATAAAAAGTTTTTTAAAAAAAATAAAAAATACACACACACACACAAACAAACACTTAACTACACAAACCCTACCTCCTTCTTCACCCTCTTCACTCCATCATCAACAAGGGAAAGTTATTGGATTGATCATCCATATCAAAGGTGAATTATTATAAATTGTTTATATTTTCATTTTATAGTTTACTACTTTAAGAGTGTGTTTGATTGACATGGAAAATATCAATTAGAAAAGAAAATATTTTCCATCTTTTGTGGAAAATAAAAACCACATCTACTTAAGGAAAATGTTTTCCTTAAAAACAAGGAAAATTAGGCATATTTTCAAAAGTTGGAAAATGTTTTCCATGGAAAAAAATAGCAATCAAACACTTTAAGTAGGAATTTGGGTGAAAAATTGATATTTTTCACGAAAAATAAATGTAATCAAACACACCCTAAATGTTTTTGAACTTTTTGAATCTCTTATTCACTAATGTATTTTTTTATATATATTTTTTGAAGAGGAAAAATACCAACATCCTTCAAAAAAAGTGAACGATTCCATATGTAATGAAGTATCGAGTTATTTCTTATTTATTTTTGGAAAGATATTGTGATGTTATAATTGAGAATTGATTATTACTATTAATGTTTTCAATAATTTCTTCTAAAGAATCAAATACATGGTTTTCAAGCTTCCCTGAAATTTATGGCAGTTCAATTGTTGAATAGTGTCGTCGAAATCGTCGGGTTAGATATTTGAACTGTCAAACTCAACATTTACTAACTGTCGAGATAGACAATTTAACTGTCGACTTCAACATTTGAAAATTGTTGAAATCCTTTATTTCCCCTTCTACTATTATATGGTTTTCCAGGACACGAAGGATCAAGTTATAACAAATATGATAAGTGTTATACTCATAGCTTCAAATAGCACCACTTTTCATATACTCAACCTTAAGTTTTATCTATAAATGCAAATACATTTTCAAGAATGAAAATAGATTGATCCAACGCTTAAAACAACATTTAAATAACCTTGAATAATCATATAAAGACACACTTAACCAAGCTTATTTGTGCATTACTCAGTTCAATCTTGGCTCATTTCACAAACTCAAAAAATTAAACACAAACTCAATTTGCCTAATAATGACCAATAACCATTAGTTACATGAAAGAAAAGTGAAAAAACATAATTATAAGAACTAAATTCGTAAATAATTTACATAAACCATAATGTTAACATTTTAGTAGAACTAGAAAAATGGAGAACAAAAATCGAAAAAATGAGGTATATTGTAACAATCCAGGACAAAATTTGTGAAGAATGAAAAACAAATACTCATAAATTTGAAAAAATCAAAAGAAAAGAGAGCAACAAATACAAGTGTGAAAATGAGAGGATTTTTACTATTTTAGTGTTATATATATATATTAACTAGTCAGGTGAGAACATCTGATATGATGTTTTAAAATTTTATGTACTATTTTTCCATCTAGTCAAATCAGTTTTTAATAAATGACATGTAAGATATTTGAATTATTTAGAAAGGGAAAAATGTCCAAAATTGACAATCTTGCAGAGACTTTAAAAAAGTGTTATTTTCGTAAATGCAAAGCCAAAAATTAACTATTTTAGTAATTTCCACTAATTAATAATAATTTAGCGTTCTTTTTCTTTGTTATCAAACATTTTTTTGCATGTAGTTTCCAATAGCAAGTAAATTTTTCTAGAGTTTCCCATGTTTTGTTTATGACATCTATGATTCCAATTTATTGAAGTTGTGCAAGCAATATTTCACCTGACTAAAAACGTCTATTTAGACATAAAAAGCATTCACTTGGTACTTTGTTTATAAGGTAAAATTGTGTGGAAAAAATTTCCCTCCAATTTGACTACTGCTATGACAACTTGTTCCTTGCTATAAATATTGATTGTTGTCCATTATTGATGCTTGCATTCAAATTGGAGGAAATTTTTCTTTGAACAATTTATCATTCGTGTCATACTTGATGTGCACACATCGCATGGATATTTAGCATCTAAACGGACTTTTTCATCAAATGGAGAAATCGTGCATAAAATTTAGCTCGATAATTTATGTTGCCATAAATACCGGTTACATTCATGTATTGTTGTTGATATTCAAATTGGAGGGAGTTTCTTTTGAACAATTTCCGCCAAGTGAAGATACATATATGCACAATATGAAATTCTTAAAGGTGAATTGACTCCAATAATTAATGAATTGAAGGTTGAAAATTTGATGTAATTAAATGAGTTGATTCAATCAATCATGATGGATTTAGATGAATAATCTCTCTTTTCTAAACGAAACGAGTCATTGTATTGAACTGATGGCCATAGACCGTGAGCCCACCGGTTTTGTGGCCAAATTTCATTGTCTAAGCTGTTAAATTGGAATTTTTAATAGAGAAAAATAAATAAATAATCATCATAAACTTGTGACTACCTGATAGAATGTTTGTGACCCATTTATTAATTAAATAGAATAATGTTACAATAACATATAATTTATGGCCACAATTACATACCAGTCACAAATCACACTGTGTCACAATTACAAAACACGAAATATGAGTCACAATTAAAAATTTAGTTATAAATTACATAAAAAAACTTTTTTATCGATTATTACAACTTATTGTGTTAACTGGTCACAATTTATTTATCGGTTACAGATTATCAAATTAATCGATCATGATTAGCCAATTAACTGATTTCAAATTACTCTTTATCTCCCCACCTTGCCTACCCCACTCCACCACTGTAGGCGCTACCCAAATTGTCATAGACTTAGATGCACAACCCACTTCCAACACCACCTGCAATGCACTATGAAATCCAACATCGTTCCCACCTGTACAACCCACCACCACCAACTCTTCCAATTCACCAACTCCCCAGCCACTATTAGGGGTGGAGCCTTATTATGTCCAGTGCGGGCATTGAATTTTTAGGCCCAACCCAATAAAAAATATATATTTTTAAAAAATATATCAGCAATGGCTCATGATTCAATTTCACCACTACCTACCAGTAGCCCAACCTAGCTCTTACGCAAATCCAATTCTATCAGAGGTGAACTTAATTGGATGTTTTACTAAGGTTAGATAAAAGTTGTTAATTTAATATCATGTATTAGCTTTCAGTTTTGTGAATTGCATTCTACATATAGGTTGTGATTTGTGAATTTAAATTGAAAGTTGTGTTAAGGTTAAGAGTATTCTGCTTGATTTTAGGCATATGTTGATTTGAGCTTCACTTGCTTTTGTTTCCAATTACTTGTTTCTGCTTTCAACTATTTGATAATAACGTCAATGATATCAAAATATGAAAGCTTACAAGGAGCATGTTTAATTATAAACTATGTCATTTTTAATATAATAGCGATTTGTTTTATAGTTTTATTAGTATTAAGTTTATAACCAAAACTCAATGTTCCGCGTAGGTTAAATTATGCCCGCATTGAACAAATTTTCTAGTTTCGCCGCAGGCCACTAGCATCACCTATAATACTCATTGCTACCACAATCACCACCACATCTACATCAAATCCAAAATCAACACTACCGCCACAGCCACCTCCACCTCCATCTCCACCTTTACCTCCGCACTTGTTCGCGAAATTATTTTTTTTCGATTTTAAACTACCGTAAGTGTACAGTTCGTTAACAAGTAATAAAATGGATTCAATGAGTCCGAATATTATCCCACAGAAATTGATTAGTTCAAATTTTATCTAACGTAGCTTTAACCGAAACTGGATTGCCAAAGTGGATGTGAACCTAAGTAAAACCCTAATTTCAAAAAGAAACCCTAATTACGCAAATTTAATGAGTGAATTGAAATTAAGACTCAAAACAATATTTTAACACTCTAGAATAAAACTAAATGCTGAGAACGCACGTTATTATAATCAATAGAAATTAAACATACTAGGATCACGATTTTACATGCAATTATCACTTTAAACCCTAATTTCACAATATGACAACACACTTCAATTGTAACGAATCAATGTTCCTAAGTCTATCCAATACTTTTTCTCTCGAGATGTATCAAACCTATTTCTACATACCACCGGCCTATATTTCTATGACAAGGGTATATGTAAAAATGCATGCGATTTTATGAACACTTAAAGATTCACGTAGGACATAGCGATATATTTCTATCCTTTATCGGACCCTACGATGATTTATATTATGTCAAATCTATTCCAATTCTCTCGAATACAAGAATAAATCACCCAAATTCACACAATTACGAGCCCTTAATTGCGGAAACATTAATTGCATATAAATCATTCAAAAAAAATTTGTCTTAATGTCAAATTGCAAAACTAGG